TTGGTGAGATCTTCTCGCTGCGTCTGAGCGAAAGAAAGAAAGTATGTATGTATGTATGTATGTATGTACATAAGTTTGTATGTATGAGTGAAAAGACAGAAAAACACGACATGGAAGGCGCCTGGCACGAAACGTAGAAATTCTCACGAATTTAAAGGTTTCGTTCGGGGGACGTGCGTCGTTCTGGGAGGATCATGACATGGAAGGTGCCTGGCACCAAACGTAGAAAAAGTTCTCAAGAGTTTGGAGGTTTCGTTCTGAGGACGTGCGTCGTTCTCATCAAAACTTTGCGGACGCTCCGCACGGGAGCGCACTTTTGAACCAAAATGAATGAAATTTTGAGCATGCTCCGCACGGGACCGCGATTTCCTTCAAAATTTTCAGGATGTTCCGCACGGGAGCGCGATTTGGGAGCGCGATTTTCTTCAAACTTTTCAGGATGCTCCGCATGGGAGCACGATCTCCTTCAACATTTTTAGGGCGCTCCGCACGGGAGCACGATTTTCTTCAAAATTTTCAGGATGCTCCGCACGGGAAAAATTTTCTTCAAAATTTTCAGGACGCTCCGCGCGGGAGCGCGATTTTCTTCAAAACAAGACGACCTTGAGCGGAGCATTTTGGTATACAGTTGGTATAGGATCCATCCCGCAAATCATCAAATTTTGAACGACGATGCCGACGAATCATATACCAATCCTATACTGGAAAGCTTCGCCAAGTACCCCCTTCTTGAGCCCGGAAAGCCACCTCGTACGACGTTCGTTTGGTAAAACCCTCAACATCGTCGTTCATCAATGATCAAAAATTTTCCGAATGCTCCCCACGGGAGCGCAATTTTGACGGATTTTGATGAAGATGAAACGACGAAATTTCGAGGATGTCTCGAGCGGGAGCGCGATTTTTGAAGACACGAAGATGATCAAAACTTCAAAAAATCGTATTGTCTCGCGCGGGAGCGCAATTTTTGAATGTTTATAAAGTCCGAAAAACACGAAGTTTTGAGGATGTCCCGCACAGGAGCACGATTTTCAAGAATCGGAGGCGCGACCAGTTCGGTAACGACCCCCCTTACGAAGAGCACTTGAAAAGCGAGGCCTTGTTTCTGTCGATTGAAAATCGATAAACAACGCCGATTTTTTTGAGGATGTCTCGAGCAAGAGCGCGATTTTTAAGTGAACAAGAGCGCGGCACGTTCGGCAACGACTCCCCTTACGAAGAGCACTTGAAAGGCGAGGCCTTGTTTCTGTCGATTGAAAATCGATAAACAACGCCGTTTTTTTTGAGGATGTCTGGAGCGAGAGCGCGATTTTTAAGCGAACAAGAGCGCGGCACGTTCGGCAACGACCCCCACTACGAAGGGGTTCAAGATGTGAAGGCATGTGAGGGGACTGCTGGTGGGTCTGCAGATAATGCAGCAGGCAGTCCGCAAGGGGTTGCGAGTGTATTGGAAGCCAGTAGGGTCCTGCGGCTACACAAAAAAATCCACAGCCTCTCGATGAAGGGTGACTTCTTTTCTTGCCGAGAGCAACGCAGGCGGAACAGCCCTGTGGTCAGAAAACAGTCTGAACCATCCACCAGCCCGAAACACTGAACAAACCTGACGCTAGACCAAACCGACCCCAAACCCTAAATCGCACATAATCTGAAACGTTGAACCCTGAGCAAGAAACCAAACCCCCAAGCTACACCCCGAGTTGAACACACAGGGAGCTCTAGATCTGCAACGGCAACAAACGAACACGCCACAAGCCCTAAACCCGGAACAACCCCCCAGCCCGTCTCCTGCTAAACTCCCAAAGCCCCCCTGCCACCCTTGCTATCTCGCTATCTCTCACCTAAAGCCTCCTAAAACGTGAAGAGGGCGCTACTTATGGATGGACAAAACCCACTGGACCGGCAAGTCATATAACACTTGGCCTCCTCTCACACAGGCTTTGTCGTTCCAACAAAGACTTTAAAGCCTGACGGGTGCTTCGTTCAGGCAATGAAGGGAGAAGCAAATTGGGTGCAACAGGACGGGGTGGAAGCGGGAATGATACATAACCACGTTAACACTTTGGCCGCGCAGCCTACGAACTAGGATGTGGATATGTTGTTGCTAAATGTATGTAGTGGTTGCAGTGCTTGATAATGCGGCACGTGCAGCCCGGACGGGTGATGCCTCTTAAGATTTCTTCCAAACAGACAGGTCTGTGGCTTTCTGATATGGGGAGCTCCTCCTCAACAGGTTTGCTAGGTTGGATCTAGCAAGGGGCGAACTTGCCTGAAGATGCACCGGCCTAGTTTTCTTGATCTAGATTTCACGTCATCTTCAGGGTTTGGACAGAGGCCTTGGTGTATTGCACTGATGTGCTCTCAAAATCTCGAGCTTTTCTTGAGCTCTCCCAAATCAGTCGGCCCTTGATCTTGTCAATGTTGGAAGTCTCACATATCTTTCCAGGAGAAAGCGAAGGCCTCCGAGGTGACGTGTCTGGCTATGAAGCTGACTTGGGACGCTGGAGGCTGGGCATTTCTGGAAAGTAGCAGATAGGTTGGCAAGATCTGCCTGCAGTCGGATGTCTCACCCCTGGCTGGTGTTGACCAGGTGAGGACACAGAAGAACCAAACGTCCTTCACTGAGAGCAGTACGTTGCTGGCATGCATCGTCATTTTGACACCATATGTGCTGAGGCAAAAAGGCCGCGCGCTTCGCAGGATGAATGATGTCACGAAAAAGCCTTGCGCACGGGCTTGTGGCTCTGAGTATCCGCGAAAACATCAGCCTGGAACCACAGAAACTTGAGGAACCTGGACTCGTTGGTTTCGATTTCCGGTTCCTTTGTGACCTGAGGATTTTCGCAGCAACCGGTCAATATTGCGATCCATTCGTTGACACCTAGCAAGTCGTTTGCAAGCAAGCTCTTCGTATCCTGCGATGATTTCCCGGCATCCATCGCAAGGGGTGTGGATGGCAGACGTGACAAGTAGAGTCAGTAGAGGCAACCTGCAGTTCCGCAGCTTTTCAACATGCTTTGACTGTAGGGATTAGCGCTCCCCGCGGGTGGAGGCATGGCCCAGGACGTGTGGCTGTTGCAGAATTGCTGAGCGTTCAGCTGCCTAGGCGATAGCAGCATGCAGTGCTTTGTCCTGTGTGGTATTGACAGGACAGCCGCGATGGCATCTGCAGTGGGAAGCATGAAAGCACCTCTGGTATTTTTGAGGCTGGGCCTGGATTATTGTGTTATTAGCACCATAGCGCACAGCTAGCAAAACGCTCACTGCAGCCACCACATTCCAAGCAAGCAACAGTGCAAGCAACAGGTCGCTAAAGCAGTGCGTCGCGAAACATGCGAAGCCTTTAGGTTGACTCAAGCGAGACAGCAGCTGTGACTCTTAGGCATTTAGAGCGGATCGCAACATGTGAACACCCGCAGTGAGCACATGGGCTTGCGGGGCCAGCGGCAGAAGCATAGATACGATTCAATCAAGCACGAAAACCGAGCTTTGACAAGCCCTTTTGTGCGAGCTGTGCGTTCTTCCGCAGGAGGTTTTCTCGGTGCAGTGGGCCTGCAGAGGGGTGTTGGGTTGGTGGGAGGTTCAACTGCTAGATAAACTGAATGGTTTAAATGAGCAAAGATCTGGGAATCTGACTTCAAGAAGGACTACCAGGGTGCCACGTCAAAGCTGAAGAAAAGTGGCGGTTCTCCAGCATCAGAACTTGATCATGCCTGTTGCCGTGGCCAGGCAGATGCAGATCCATTGCTCAGGCCCGCCACATTTGTCCAGTCTGCGAATGCCCCAACGCCACAGACAAACCCGGAAGCACCCTGTGCTAAGGAGCATCGATTGCATCATCCAGCAACGGCAGGATGAGCTCTTCACCCGTTGCATGGCGTAGTTATCTCGACCGAAGGTGGCAGCTCACAGTTGGAAGACATGTAAGTCTACTGAATTGTTGCCCCCCCTCCCCCTCCGCCTCCCCCCCCCCCCTCCCCCCGGCTCACAGTTGGAAGACATGTAAGTCTACTGAATTGTTGGACTTCCATGAACCAAGGTCTGTGCAATGTTCTTGAAACGGGTCATGGCGCCAATCGCCACAGCTCGATGCTCCAGGATCTTGGCGTCCTGAGGCATTGCGGAATGCCTCTGAGGAGCCCTGCCACCTGCCAGGCCTATCTGAACGAGTTCTGCTTGCCGGGAGAGTCGAACCCGCTGCGCATCTCACAGCGTTCTTGTGTGGCCTGGATAACACATGACTGTATCAAGCATGGTGACTCACCACGGTGACTCTGAAGGCCTCGCCATCCGAATCCAGGACCATGTCGAAAGAGCTGGAGCAAGCTGGTCTGAACTGGCTTGATGTTACTTCAGGTTCAGGTGCTGCTGTAGAATTGTTTCAGGCTCTTCCAGAGTTTACATTATGTTCTTTCCCCGCGCCCTTTTGTTGCTTTGCCATTGCTGACCTCATCTGAACGCAAGACACGACAAACTCTTACGACTGGTGCTCAGAATGACGCCTGCCAGCGCCTCGTCTCTTCGAAGTGACGAAGGAGCGAGGCTCGCATGCTGCTGGAACAGAGACATATGACATTACCACATGCCTCTCTTCTAAGTGCCAGGCCGAGCAGCAGGGTGAAAGCTGCAAAGAAACGGTGGCAGGCGCCGACCTCCCAATGTTTTGTGATGTGCCTTTTTGCTGTTCGTCTGCCTCAGTATTCATCGGCTCTCTCGCTCCGCTGGCTAGCATGACAGCGCCAGAGCATGCTGGGGCTCTGCCAACAAAGTTGTTGTGGTGAAGTTGCTCAGCCGTCTTCGCACATTAAGGGCAAGTGAACATGCTACGAAGGGCCTGGAGGCACCTGTAATTTACAAACGGCACTGCGCAGTCATCTTTGCCAGCATGCCTTTCCGTAATTGAGTTTCATGACTTGAACAATCGGAGTGGCTGTCAAACTTAAAAAGTGTCTAGGGAGCACTTAGCAGCAGAAGAATGGCGAAGATTCCAGATGATAATCTGTGAGGTGAATGCCATGCCACTACTGGAGGAGGAGGAGTACGAGGCCTCAAAAAGCGAATTTGCGCTTGTTTCTGACTCCCGCGTGCTGTGGCATGTAATTTCACCTTCGCTTGGTAAACCTGCCCAAAGCATCCACAGCAGAAGTGCCGTCGCTTGGGTCAAGCTGCTGAAGCTGAGCTGGCTGAGCTCCTGCGAGGCCCTGGCTGATGCACGCTCCAAGCAGCGTGCGATGCGCACAGCGGAACGTTCAGAGCCTTTGAGAAACAACTTCATCAAAGTAGTGTTTCACTTCGGATGTCGCCCGCAGTGTGGTGGTGCTAGTGTTCTCTCAGGAAAATGTTGAGGACGACGCGCCGTTGCACAATTTGGCACAAAGGAGGGGCTGGGACCGAGCCTGCTAGGCTATCATGTCGCTAAGTCCTTAAGGGATGCTGTGGGCTTTGTGGAGTTGTTTGTTTTGGCTCCCTGAAGCGTAAACCTGGTGGGCATGACCCTCACCCTGAAACTAAAACCGCAACACCCCAAGCCCTACCCCCCAGACTCACACGGAAGCCCATATTGGCTTCTGTGAAAGGGACTTTGCAGGCCCCTTCTTGGCTCCCGCAGGGGGGATAAACCCTAGACCCCAAATCCAAAACCGACCTGTAAACTTTCTGATTGTGGGTTTGGTCATGCAGCTGCTGAGGGTTGAAGGTAGCCTAGCCGGTGGCTCCTGCGCAGTTTCAATTTTGGGCAATTTCCGGCAAGCCTGTACAGACCGTACAGAACAGCATCAACACGCTTCCAAAAAGTTGCACAGGAGACTCGGAGCAACCCTGAAACACAACATACCAGATTCTTAAGTCCTAGACATCAATTCCAAACATTCCCAAACACTACCTAGACCATCCAATGTCGCATAGTACTTTTCTCGGGGTTCTGATAAAATTCAAACCATAGCAAAGCTACAAAGGAATCACACTGGAGGGTGCAAATGAATCCTCAACTCCAAATCCCAAACCCTAAGCTCGGTCATTGCTTGATATAGTTGTGTTTCCAGTACTATCCTTACTTAAAACCCAAGCAGGAACATGCGAGATACGCAGTTAAAGATATCTCAGCATATCTCAACAAGGAAGCGGGCGTGGGGCTTTCCCCACAGGTTTGTTGCAGGCGGAGATGACAACCGGGAGCCGTTTTAAATCAAGCTAAGCAAAGTGCAACGCGCAATTACGTGCTTCTTCGCTGCTTGCACCTGCGGTGAGGCTTGTTGACTTCGTTTCTTCGAAGTGGTTCGAGGGTGCGATCCTGAGAGCTGTGATGACTTTCGCTGTGGCGACAAGCGCTGTCAGATTGGGTCCTGCGTCCAAAGGGAGGATTCCGAGGATGGCAGTGAGGGTCTTGCGGGTTGATCATAGAGGCTTGCCGCGACACTGACGCCAGAGGAAAACTAACTGTGCTTTTCCACGCTTTAGTCTCTGTCTTCTTGTGCTCTGTTCTACATGTTAATCCGCGTGTTCTTCTGAGTGTCGAACAGAGCGCCTTGCTCCTGCTCCGTTTGTTCCAGGCTGCTGGATCCGGTCAAAGGAGTATGAAGGAGTGTAAGTTCCTCAGCAAAGGCCTTCCCTTGCAAGTCCATCTATGTCTTCCGGCAAGCTTATGAAGAGAGCATTGTGCTGCAGCAACCTTGGGCTATGCTTGCTGGCTTGCCCTGCACGGGCGGCCATGCAAGGGTTGCAAACAGAGCATCAGGGCATGGGGTCTGGCCATTTCTGAGACGACTGCATGATTGCATGTCCACTTGTCATCTTCCACTAGCCGCATGGGGAAACGTGCATGCCGTAGGCGTGATGGCATCACACTTGAACAATTCACCGTGCCCTTGTGCTGCTGTGATGCGGAGCTGGCGTTCGAGTGGCTGTATGCAACATTGGCTGGTCAACTTCGCACCTGCTTCAGTCTGGATGTTCGCTAGAAGCTGACGCCATGCGGTGTGGGGATCTTTGCGGGTTGTTTGGGTCGGTGCATGTCGGTGCCTTGGTGTGCTTCCGCATGGTCACCAGTTGGCTGTTGCTTCCCAACTTGATCGTTTGAGCAGCTGATGCAAAACGGAAGCGGCCTTTGGTGCTGTCTGCACCTTGCTGCGGAGCAAAGATATGGACTTACATTTGCCGGAGCAGTTGTGTGTATGCAACGGTGTTAGGCTTGGGACGTTGGTACCCCTTTCAAGCATGGCCTGTGCTGGGGTAGGAGCGGTTGTGGAAGTTTGCGTTGACAAGAAATCGTTCCGGAAAGTGCCAGTTCATTCAGGGCAGTTGGGTTTAACTTAACATTTTTCTCGTCCAATCGTCCAACAGGTCCCGTCTAGTAAGCAGTAAGCATTTCTCGCGGTTCAAGGCTGGAACAGTATGTTAATTGGGGATACTATAGCCCGAATAAAGAGTAAGATTGCATCCTTCTTTTGAGAAATTTTACTCGGTTCCGTCACCAAAAAAGCTACTCAGGTGTCTTTGCCGCTGTCATCATCACGAATTGCTTCTTTTTAGGCACAGTGGCTAGAGATGAAGAGCTTCAGTCAGCAAACTGCATGATGCCTCTTTTGTGGCTTGTCTGCAGCTGGGTCAATTCAGCAAACGAATGTCGAGCATGTTGCAGGCATTTCCCTGGAGGTCTCCTCGCAGTGTCTTGGCTGGTAATCTGCTCTCATGCAGAGTGCCTTCATGAATTCATGCCCGACGCAGGGATTTATCATCAGAGCCTCCTCCGGGATTCAAAGTCGTCGACTACTTCTATGCTGCGCTCTTTGCAATAGAGCTTATTCTCAAAATCAGCGTACAAGGTCAGAACTTCTTCTGCCTCTTGGCAGACAGGTCTGCCCTATTCTGGAACTATCTGGACTTGGTGATTGTTGGAACATCCATCTTCGAGCTGGTCTTTGACCTGATTCTGGCTTTTGAATCTGATGAGTCGGCAGCCCCTACGCAGACGCGTCTCTTGAGGATCATTCGGATTATTCGAGTGCTGCGTGTGATGCGGGTCATTAAGGTGGTCAAGTTGCTCGGATTCGCTGTTGAGGTGGATCTGGCCAAACATCTTCGTGATTCTGCGTGTTCCGCATGTAGAGAGCGCGCGTTAACGGAAGCCTATCAGCCCAGGTTCATATCTGCGCTGACCTCCCTGGTGTCATCTATTTTGTCCACTCTGAAATCCCTACTGTGGAGCTTAGTGCTGTTGCTCATGGTGATGTATGTGCCTCAAGGCAGCAAGCATTGCATCAGCTTCATCTATCCTCTCTGGCATCTTGTGACTGGTGGGGATGACTGCTGCTTGTGCTGCTGCCGAGTGCTATTGCTCACCAGATGTGTTTGCCACTGAAGCAATTTCCTTGCCATCTGCAAGCTGCTGCGGACTTTGTCCTGGAGTAAGGTTTGGCATCCTTTTCACCGATACGGTCATTGGACACGTGAAGGAGATGGGCTTGGAAGCGTTCGGGGATTCGCAGCTCCTGAGACACTTCGGATCGTTGTGGCTTGGCCTCAAACTTGGCCTGTCACCTCCCAAAGGGGACTATGAAGGGCTTGACCGAGTGAATGCAGAATACCACCCGCAAATCCTGGACGTTTGAATTCAGGCATGCAGTGATTTTTCTTTTGCAAGCACTGCAGGCTTCTTCGCTGGTGAGTCCTTGAGAATTTAGAAGCAGCCAACTCAAAAGAGTTCTTTGAAGTATGCAAGGGTGCCAACGTTTGCAGTCGCTTGCACGTAATTTCAAGGGAATGTGAAAACAAAGCTGTGGATCGGTCGCCGGTGCGCAAACAGGGGAGGGAGAAACGAGCCCTCGATGCGGTTGTTAGGTCAGTTGTAATTTTCAGTTTTGCTTATTCGTAATTTCTTCTTTGCTTAGTTGTAATTGTTGTGAAAGTGCTAGCAGGCGCAGTATTTTTGGCAACATGTCTGATCCCAGTCCCTCGGTCCGTCCCCCAACCCCCCCTGAGATTGGCCCGAACGTGAGCTAATTACCTCACAACAGTGTACAGAAGACAAGCAAGCGGGCGTCTCGTTTCCCACTACGCGCATATGCGCTACTCGAGTATTAACTGCCAAGAACCTTGAGTGAGAGCGGCAACAACAGCCATGCAGTTGTGTCACATGAACTGTACATGGACTGATAGCAAATTAGCAGGACTGTACTTATATCTCAAGCAGGCGCCAATTTACTTTCATGTGACAGAACTGTCCGTTGGTCGGCTATCTTTCCAGGAAACTTCTGTCACCAGTAATCATGGGATCACCTACAAAACTTCTGTCACCAGTAATCATGGGATCACCTACATGTAAGGACAAAACACCAAAGGGCTTCCTACCTCTACTGGGACTCCCATGAACAGGATCAACAAAGTGTTCCAGCAGCTCATCAACTACTTCAGGAGTAAAGTGAGGCTTCTCCACCCTAGTCCGATAGGAGGACTTTTCAGGCAAATAGAGCGAAACAAGCATCTTTACTTCTTCCTCTAGAAAATCTTGTTTACCTCCATGCCTAAGATCAGTGCTTTTCTCAATCACCCACCAGGTACCTTGTCGAAGAATGCAGGATACTCTGTGATTGTAGCCCTTTATCTTATAGGTACGTTCAGGGGTTCTCACAGCCTTAGCCCTATGAGTAACCTGATCCTGACCATCAAGAAAAGGAAACCATCCCTTCTTGTGAACTGCAGTCGACTCTAAGAATTTTAGCAGGGCCTCATCTACCACAGGTGTAAATGCATACTCTGTCACCTTCCTTGTGGTCAAGGCATAGGCTATACATTGGGACAAGTTTTCACGGACCTTACATCAATATGGCCGGAGGTAACTGACGGATCCTTCACGCAGCAGAATTTAAGGATGTGACTAAAGTCGGCTTCCCCTTCGTGGGAAGAGCCTGCCTCAATTTCAACCGCAGGGTCGGCCGAGTTGGGATGGTCATTGACCTAAGGCTCTCGCCAAGCTCCTTCGTAGATTCTGTATGTATATTTGTGTGTTTGGGTTGCAGACACAACGGAAGGCTGATGCTGCAGGTGCACTGTCTGTCTCCGCCTGCAGCCATCAGCCCCAAATTCTGGTTAGCTTGCAGTGATTTCTGACTTAGGTTTACCAGCCTCTGTTTGATATGCTGCCTGTTCAGGAACTTGACGCCATGGCTTCTGCCCCTCTCTCACCGACAGGTGGGGGTGTGGGAATTTTGTCTGACCCTGCCTGTGCTCTTCCTGCCAGGTGGTGCTGTGTTTGCTCTGCCTGGCTGCCCTCTGGGCTCTGCCAGGTCGGAGCTCGTCCTGCTTTGTGCAGGTCGCCTGCTGGTGTTGGCCTTGGGTCTGTGCCTCAGTGATTCTGATTTTCTGCTTGGCTCTGAAGATGCTTGTCTGCCTCAGGTCGGGACCTTCCACTGTACGTGTGTATTTGTATGAATGCTACCCTACCCATTGTTGTTTAGGTTGCAGGTAGTTTCACTTATGCGGAATGTTCCAATACTTTGGCTCAAGGTTCCCCTAGAGGCTGAAAGGACTAGGGAGGTATTTCGCCTTGCCATTG